ACCTCAAACATTTCCAATTCACATAACTATTAAAGAAGTCATCAGAAGATGGTATACAAAATTTTGGCAGCCGAAATCAATACAAGATGATAATAAACTGATTAGCGAAGCGTCGCTACTTCTCCTGAATGTACAAGAAAAAATACAACAGCTCGATATGGTTATAAGTACTCAGCTATTGAGTAATGTATACCTCAGCCATACAAAGCACCACGATAGACTGGCTAGTAGACTGACAGCAGACACAATTACTGCGGTACAGACAGTCGATAAATTCGTACATCATCATAAAATATCACTGCAGGCGTATAACAAAGTACATATATACGCATCAGCACACTCAAATCTCGCATCTAAACGATAACGGCTTTAAAAATACTAGCCATAACTTCGATAATACATCGTTATAAAAAGATATCGAGAATATCAACAACATACACACAATAGTGGTAATCGATACTCGAGGAAGGAACTGATTCAATGACAACTGCGGCAGTGTTACCGTTTACATGTTTACATTACATGGAACGAGGCTTGTACAAATAAACAGCATCACAAATACTAACACTAATTAACAATTTTACGTAACTAGTTGTTATAATTGTTGCGTTAATAAATTGGCTGGTTTTATTATACGGAACATAACGGGGATAGAGTTTGCTAGGGGCGTTGCGCGATATTGACTTCAGCCTTGACTGACAGACGACAGTACAATAGAACTCGTAAATGGGCAGACATATAGCGGAAGATAGATAATATTATGGCTATAATTAGACCTAATAATAAAGGGAGAAATTGGGTAGTTTCCTCACTCAAAAATAAATTACGTATTTTACTGTTTTACTGTTCAATGCAATCGAATATTAAAAAATAGTTAATCACACTTTCATTCATTAGTTTGTTGATACAGGTAGATACACATTTTTTTTTTAATTTTTAACTAAAATGGAAATGTTTATTATTTAAACTGCCTCGTTGGCCGAGTTGGGGTCTCGGGTTCGATACCCGATTCGGGCAAAGTATTACTGGGTTTTAAAAAAAATCGCAATAATAGCACCGAGTCCGGAATGGTGCCCGGTATATGGCAATAGGCTCACCCCCTATTACATGGGACTCACAACATAAATATTGAAAAGTGGGTGTTACATCGTACAATGGTATAATGTGCACCTCTGCCTACCCCTTCGGGGATAAAAGGCGTGATGTTATGATGAGGAAATGTTTATCACTGCTTTACTAAATACTATAACGTGTATAAATTTTAACCGCTAAAAAAATCCGTTTACGTGTCTGTTTTTAGAATTTTGACCAAACGTCATTAACCGCGACACGGTCTATTTTCATTCCTAATCGCCAATAGATTTAGAAATGCTAAAACGTTTCCGAGTCAACAACTAGGAGGAGAACGAACTGATACATTTTAATGTCAATAAATATGCTACATTTTAAACTAGTGTAACTATTTGCGATCAACGAAAACGTACGCCCACTGAACTTTTTATTAGTCTCACAAAAACGAGGATAAATATCCCACCTTTATAATACGTAGTGGCCCATGGAACACCTTGAAATGAGTTCATAAACATTAGCTAACATTCAACGCGAGTAACGGTAGTGCGTAAGCGTAGCGTCAGATTGATGGCGATTTATGAGTGGGTGAGGATGCGAAAAGTGCATCCTCTATCAAAAGCCCCGGCGCATTGGACAAATGAATGGAATATGCACGATGTTTCTGTAAATCACATGGATGAATGGCATGAATGCTAATCGAAGAATATAAAAGTAAATCTTTGGTACTTTAAACTTGTCGTAAGCACACTCCTAAGTGCCAAGCACGAATAACTATCGCATTCGTACTGTAATAGTATCGAGCGCGTTCGGCGCTCTGAGGCCTTAGTACGAGTTTCTTTTACGTTTAAAGTACGCGTTCGGCGCTCTGATTGGTTAGTTCATTGGAGCCGGCCAATCAGAACACCGAACGTGATCTAGATTGGATTACTTGAAAAGTAAAACAAACTCGTAATAAGCCCTGAACTATTCCAATTGCGATAACTTACTACCTACTTGTTTTTTTTTTATGGAATAGAAGGCAAACGAGCAGACGGATCACCTGAGGCCTTAGTACGAGTTTGTCTTACGTTTAAAGCAATCGTAACGAGTACGCGTTCGGCGCTGTGATTGGTTGCTTCATTGGCGCCGGCCAATAAGAGTGCCGAACGCGTACTCGTTTCGAATACTTTAAACGTAAATCAAACTCATACTAAGGCCTCAGATGGTAAGCGATCAGCGCCGCCCATAGACACCCGCAAAACCAGAGAAGTCACAGTTGCGTTGCCGGCCTTTTAAAAAGGAGTACGCTCTTATCTTGAGGGTTTGTCTAACGTGAAGATTATAGCAAACCCTCTTATGTAGAGGAGGCTCGTGGTCTAGGAGTGCACGGTCACGGGTTGTCGATCGCATAATGATACCATAATGTATCTAAGTCACTTTTCTATTCTATTTGACTACTTAGTAACTATTTAAGCCATTTATCTATAGATGCCATTTGGACGCTGTTGGCATGGATCTATTCAGTTAAAATTATCTGAGAGTCTGAGGTAATTGAGATAACTGCCACGCCCACTTCGACGTAACATTTCAGATGGCACCAAACAAATTACGTATTTAAAAACAAAGCTACGACGACGTTGTTATTTATTTTTCTTTACGTTTCTGAGAAAAACTACTAAGACAGTCAGAATAATTGCTTTAGAAATGTAGGATTTTAAACAGCTCACATTCTCTCTGTGTTAGCGGTATGCTTGTCCTGAAGATTACCGTAACAATGATAGGTATACATACATTTAATGTATCAAACTTCTAACATACCTAGATAAAAAATTTGTGTTGGTAAATATAAGCTATAGTTTTGTGTAGACAACACTTTAATTTTCTGGATCACCTTGCGGTATTTAAAGCATAACTAGGGCTGTCATATCAACAATTTAGTTATATGAAATTGAAGCAACTCATTATTAGTCTTACTTATCCCTTCATTCATATTACTTTTGCCTAGAGAAAAGAAAAAGGCCAAAGATGGGTCTGCTAAGGATATAATAACATTATATACACCATATACACAGAATGATTGGTAACCCTATTCAAAACTCATATATTCTGTGCCAAGTCACAATAGAATGGGCATACTATTATTAGACAATACATGTTTGTTGTTGAATATTACGAATGTAATAAAAGTAAATAGGTAGTTCCAGTAATAACCATTCTCAGGAAAACGATTTTCATGGTTGAAATGTAATCTACGATAATGAAGGTCAATTTCAAGAATGTGTCAAAGATAATTTCTTTATGCATCTGTAACTGGTTAATAGTTTTTAAAAAAAGATTTAATTGATATAATATTTTAAAATTGCATTTATTTTTTATGTAAATTATAAATAAAAAGTTATATGATTATATTGAATTATTTTTTAATAAATAGATAGATAAGCACTTTTTAAGTTATATTGACGGCAATTTCAATGTCCAAAACTAAAAGCAAATATATATTGGAGGATAAATTTAATTTTTCGCATTACAATGTTGTTTGAAGTTAATTCATAGTAAAAATAGGACACCTAAAATGCAATTCAGCTCCAGTTATTGTCGGAGGAAAAGAAATAAAAATTCAGAGATAAAATCACAAATGGATCAAATGTTTGAACTGATAACAATTAAGAATGAGTTTTAATCAAAAATGTTAATATAAAAATCAGATATGAACTAACGCAAAAACTCTAGATAAGCTGGCAGTGTTATACAATGTCAAAGACAATAATAGAAATTTTTATGCATCTTTTTCACACCCAAATTCTTTTCAAACACAACTGGTTGGGCTTGCAAATATACAAAACACACTTGTTTCGTACACTACATCACTATTTGGAAGGTTTTAAGTCAGGAAAATTAGGATAATTCGTTTATTCAATAATCAGAACAATTTGAAAGATCTCTCATTGCTCTATTCATTAGAACTTAAATTTCAGCATGTAAATATTTTTAGAGTAACGTCTGTCACAATATAATGAGACCTTGAAATTGTTACAGCGACGATACATTTACTTCCTGTACTAACTATGTGCGAATTTTGAACTGAACACCGAAGACCGAAAGTCAAAATCAATAACGCAGAAATAATCAGTTTTCCAATATTCAACGCATCGCCTCGTTATAAATTTTATTTGAAGTTATTACAGCTTCACTACCAGTCGTTTTAGGCCCGTTTCATATCCGTGTAGCTCACAATAATTTGTTTATAGATTCGATATAAAAAAAACAGCTGTCACGTTATGTAAACTCCAAAAATAAATGAAAAGGTACTCACAATAAAGATTTAGACGCAGTGGAAAACATTTTAAAATATATGTTTCATCGACACAATTGAAACCCTCAGGAAACCGCACCGCTTTCGTGTAGTATAATTACTGAATATTTTATTTTACTAAATAATTTCAGTAACGCCCTCCATCCATGTGGCAGTGATTTGACTGAAGCATAGACTATATAGATAAACTAAACTGAAGCAACTAGAGGTGCCCCGTTATGTTCACTAGTTCGCTACTTACTATTTTGCAATCAAAAGCACAAATAAAAACTGATAAACACTTGCATGAATCATTATTATCTAAATGGTATCAGAGTCAGAAAGCAAGTCTTTATCGATTATTATTCGTATCTTATTATTAACTTTATCTTTCGGTTTGACTTTTCATTAAAATATTAAGCCCAGTATAACACAGGTTGTAGTGAGCAACGGTGTACAAACAATCCTAAAAAAGTGAAAAGGACAAGAAAGAATGACTGCAGACCGGTGATTTTTGCACCAGGTAGTTAACTCAGATTTAGTCTATTAATCGAATAGATTGAAATTAAATACTATCATAATTTTTTTACGCTGGTAATATATAAAAATAATGGTCTATAGTCTATGACATGAAAGAATTTTATTGACACTTGACAGACAGCTGACAGTTTGTAGCAGAAAGAAAAACATTAATTCAGATCCGTCGTAGGGTAAATACTTGTTTAGATCCGAATGCGTTTCGCTGAAGAAAATTCTCATAACTGATTGTGAAAAATACTGTTGCCATGATTCGAGAAGATGACCCTCGGTTCCGGATTACTCCATTCCAGCAAATGGCATCGGCATGTTCCGGTGCTCTTATAACCTCGTTATTCAGTGAGTTTCCACTTAATTCTTACATCCAGGAAGTCTTTACTGTTGTTAATTCTTGTCTTTGACCTAATTTGAACGTTTATTTACAGTGACTCCACTAGATGTTGTCAAAATAAGGCTTCAAGCGCAACAGAAGGCGTTGCTCTCGAATAAATGTTATTTGTATTGCAATGGTCTAATGGAACACATATGTCCCTGCGGCGACTCTGCCTGGATACCGAGACGAGTACATTTCAATGGCACTATGGTATGAATAATATTTAATATTTTTTTAAAGCATTAATTATTGTTCAATCACAGTGTGAAAGTAGCTTTGTTTTAAGATGAAATAAGTAGCAGAAACCATGTTACCATCGTCACATGGCATAATTACCCGCTCGACCTATCATAGTAAGTAATTAATAAATACTAATTGGAATATAATTAACTAAATTTGTTTTATTTTGTTCCAGGATGCTTTCTATAAAATAGCCAAATTAGAAGGAGTTCCTGCATTATGGTCTGGATTAAGTCCTACATTAGTCCTAGCTCTTCCATGTACAGTTATTTATTTTGTAACATACGAACAACTGAGGTATAGGATGAAAACAAATTACAATAATTATACCAATAAACGTAAGTACTTAATTATTTTGTTTATTAAGGTTTAAATTCGTTACAAAAGATTATTTACCCATTAAACTATTTTGTAGTCATAGAATAATAATTAATTAATACACACATTATATATATATTTTACTATCTCAAAAACACACTTAGCAACACAGTAGAGACATCTAACTATTTAGGTCAATCTAGCTACCATCTTACAATACTCTAATAATGATGGATGGCTCAGATGTAAGATATGGGACACTACATATTATTATTATGACATAATTTATTGACCCATACATAATACCAACAAGCATATTGAATCAACCTGTCAAGTTCCTAGCCTTGACTTCAAGGTCAGAGGTAACGCAAATAAACAAGTGTTGAATATTTTTTATGTATTATCATGATGATTTGGCTGTTTTTAGATACCTATTGCTAAATTTGCCTATTGTTGTCCAACTTTTTCATAATTTTATTGATATAAACCTCTCAATTTATTCACGAAATGATTGAGGTTTCTTAATTTTGTTTGTATTTTTAACAGTCATTTCATAGATTTATTTACTGCTAAATTAAATAATCTTTGAAATTGAAATTAAACATGTATGCTACAAGAATAGAAATAATAATATTTAGTTATAATCTCATCATGACTTATCTCTCAGTCCTCATCCCTTATGTAACCATTATCAGTTTATAAACCTGAGCGATTACTAATCAGCCATCATGAAAATGTCACATGAGGAGCATAAGATCAATAGAATTGTTTTGCTGATGTCAATGTTTTCCATTTTATTAATGTTCCAGCGGGACAACCGATGTGGATACCAATGTTAGCAGGAGCAACAGCCAGAACGATAGCTGTTACTATCGTCAGTCCTCTAGAACTAATAAGAACAAAAATGCAGTCGACAAAACTGAGTTATTCAGGTACTGTCTATTCCATTACTCCATTAGCAAACTCGGAATAATAATAGGGTAGTTGCCAGGGAATGAAAATTAAAAATCTAATTAGCCCATCAGTTAGATAATGAAAAAATATTAGACACGTATTTTTTTTTATTTTCTCGTATAAAGTTACAACACTTGGATAAAATGGAGTTAACTTTAACTCGTTGAGTACCGGTTTTGTAGACACAATTATAGAACAATAGGTTGCGGTCACCGGTGACTGCTTGGTGTTTGACAGTTTAAGAGTGGGAAGTCGTTACGTCACAAAGTGCTACAAAATGCAGTGCATTGTCACACGATATTTCAGATTAATATATCGTCGAAAGTATTTAATTTTGTGAGAAAATAAAAAAAACCGTCTAATGTTTTAAATTAATCTACCCGACGGACATTAAAATAAAATTCAGGCAACTACCCTATTCTTTACATATTCAATCATTGTCAACAAATGTTTGATAACTTTTATTAAGAGTGTGTAACTTGTAATAACAGTGTTTAACTCGTCGAGTACCGGTTTTGTAGACACAATTATAGAACAATAGGTTGCGGTCACCGGTGACCGCTTGGTGTTTGACAGTTTAAATAATTAAAAAAAATAAAACAAAAATAAAAATAAAATTAAAAAAAAAAAAAAAAAAAAAAAAAAATAATAAAAAAAATAAAAAACAAAAAAATAAAACAAAAAAAAAAAAAAACAAAAAAATAAGAAAAAAAATAAATAAAAAATACAATATAAACAAAATTTAAAATAAAAAAACAAATTAATTAAAAAATAAAAATGAAAAACAAAATAAAAAAAAAATAAAAAAAAATTAAAAAATAAAAATAAAAAACATAAAAAAAAAATAAGATAAAAAAAAATATAAAAATAAATAAAAATAAAAACATAAAAAAAAATATAAAAAAAAAAAAAAAAAAAAAAAAAAAAAAGTAAAAAAAAAATAAAAGAAAAAAAAAACAAAATAAAAAAAAAAAAAATCAAAAAATAACAAAAAAAAAAAACTAGAAATAAAAAAAAAAAAAAAAAAAAAAACAAAAAAAAAAAAAAAAAAATAAAAAATAAATATTGAATGATCAAAAAATTTCTAAATTAATTTCAGATATAATGTCAGCATTACGTCAAGTCATAAAATATGAAGGATACAAAGGTCTCTTTCGTGGACTCGGCTCTACTTTATTGAGAGATGTACCATTCTCAGGTAATTTACATTTATGTACATAAAATCTTTAACAATAGCTTTTTTTAGACCACATGTTAACTATTCTACTTTCATTTTGAATTAAATAACTCGGAGAAACATGATTAGGTTTTCTCATAATTGTCCTCGTTCTTCTGTTTATTCATACTAATGATATCATCTTTACATAATATTGTTACTTGGAAATTATAGTTAAAAAGTAGTCATAAATCATGATGCATATATTAAACATAGTTGGACTTGTACAATGGTTTGTTGAATGATTGCAAAAATAATGGTATCACGAGAGAAGGCCAACTAATAATATTTTATTTTATTATTACAGGTTTATACTGGACCACATTTGAGTCAACGAAGAACTTTTTTAACAAACCAGACTCAGAAAAGAATACATTTTTGTTTAATTTCTTCTGTGGATCTGTCGCGGGCAGTGTAAGTTACTTATTAATTACTTTTAACAATGTGAAATTGATGATAAATTGCATTCTGTAAAGTACCTAATGCTTTTTCTATTATTGGGATGGTGTTTTATTCTGGATAAACTTTCAATTTCAAAGTACTTAACATTATTGCATCACACCCTCGGGTTAAACTCCAAAATAAAAAAACATATTCATTGAGATTATAAAAATAAATGTCTATAGATTACTCTGATATCAGACCCAATGGGGTGAGCAGATAAGATTAGAAAATGCTAAGTGTTATCTATTTTATCATCGTCTGTTTCAGATTGCGGCGTTAGTAACACTTCCATTTGACGTTGTCAAAACACATCAACAAATAGAATTAGGCGAAAAAGAAATTTATACAGGTTGGCAACATTTTATTTGTTTATGCTTCCTTAGTTCCGTCACATCAATCAGGTGATTTTAGCACAAGAATAGACAATAGACATGACGAAATGTGTTACGATAATTTATGTTTTTTAATAGAAAATTTTCGTACTAAGATTTCAACAGCTTGTAGCATCGCCATCGTGCTTTTATTAACACACTCACTAACGCTTTTTTTTAAACGTAGCCCCACTCTAGTATTTATTACTATGTCATGGGTGCGTTTACAAACATACAAGTTTACATGCACATCACACCCAGACCCGGAACAACAATCTGTGGATCACACAGAGTGGTTCCGTGAGGGGATCGAACCCTCGACACGTTGCGCTGCTGCCTGTTGCCCAGTGACCGTTCCAACCATGCAGTCATATAAGCGCTAAATCTGATATGTTGATTACTTTATTATAATTGGGTAGTTTCCAGGGCAACAAAATTAACAATCTAATTAATCCGTCAGTTAGATGATGAAAATATATTAGACACGTATTTTTTTTATATCTCGAATTTAATTGGAATACTTAAATGAAATGGAGCTAAGTTTAGGATTAGGAGGTCGTTACGTCATAACGTGCTACAAAATGTGACACGCTGTGACGTCACACGATATTTCAGATTAATATATCGTCGAAAGTATTTAATTTTGTGAGAAAGGAAAAAATTCGTGTCTAAAGTTTTAAATTAATGTACATACCAGACGGACATTAAAGTAAAATTTAGGAAACTACCCTATTATTTATTCTTAATCTTATTAGGTGAATAAGATCTTATTCAACTGCTTCATCACCTGTCTAATAAATAAATAAATAATGAAATACACTTGAGAGTGACAGCCTCGTTGGCCGAGTGGTCGCAAATGCAACTACCGGACAAGTGGTCTCGGGTTCGATTCCCGGGTCGGGCAAAGAATTACGGGGTTGTATTTTAAATCTCAGTAGCAGCACAGTGTCTGGAATTGTGCACGGTACCTATATGGTAATAGGCTTACATGGGACTCATAACATAAATAGTGAAGAAGGTGTTACGTTGTAAAGTGGCATTAAATGCCATAATATGCACCTCTGCCTATCCCTTTGGGGGATAAAAGGGTTATATGTTATGTTATTTATTGATAAATATTGTATGAATTGGTAACATGTATGTTGTATAAAGGCAATTTAGTTACCTTTAAGATGAGAGCATTTTGTTATAAAAGGAATATTTTTTCAAGTTGGATAAAATGAAAAAAGAATGCTAGTCAGTTTGTTTCCTCCCAAGTGTAAGATTTATATTGTACTTATTTATTTACTCATATAGTTTGCAGATTGTATTTATCTTTGTTTTTGTTGATGTGTTTACTGTTTCAGATGGTAAAGTCCATCAAAGAGCATCAAATATGAAGGAAATAGCACACACAATATACACCAATCATGGATTTAAAGGATTGTTCACTGGTTTCCTGCCACGAATATTCAAAGTTGCACCAGCATGTGCAATTATGATTGCGACCTTTGAATATGGAAAACAGTTTTTCCAAACATATAACACTCAGAAATATAAGGAAAAAATGCAAAGGTAGATAGTTCAATTCCTTTTTCTGTCATTAACTACATAATCTCTAAAAAAATTATGAAAAATTCACAACATATGTTCATACAAAATTAGCCTTTGAACATCTGAAATAACGTATATAATGGAGTAAGTTGTGAAGAGAGTGGTCACCGGTGACTGCTTGGGGACTGGGCAGTTAAGATGTTTTTAGTTTCTTTTATGAATCTTCTTACAAATCATTAAAGACTCCTAAATGTTACTAGAATATTCTTCTTTATAATTTTAAGATACAGTATTAAGCAAAGAAAAGGCTGTTCCATTGGAGTAAGAAATTGACACCCCTCTGTAGAAAATATATTATGGAGGATGCTTTGTTTATTTTTATTTTTTACTATTCCTATAAAACTTAATTTCAGTCAAGGAATAGAAATCACAATAATTAAAACTTCAGATCGATAAAGGAACTTATATGATAAGGTATTTTAAAATGTAGTCAGTTAATTTTACAGACACAAACACTTACCTAGTATTAATGTACTTGAATAGTTATTTGAGTTACAAATTCAAACTCTTTAGATGTGTTTAACAAACTAGGTAGTTGTCTAAGTAGATCACAAGTTGTGTTAGTTGTAAACCTATAACCAAATATTTAAAAGATCATAGTTACTGTCGTAGTGTATTGTGGTACAGTTTGTTCAAATTATTTCAAAATTTTTATACTCATATTTTTTAATTAATTTCAGGCACCAAGAAATATTGTTGATGAGCCAAACATCAGCCAAAAATGATTATTCATAATACGACAAACGGGAATATCAATGTTTAGTAAAATATTAGAATACAATAAATGTGATAAAACTGTAGTAGGTACAGTTTAAGTATTTTATGGCTGTTCATATTGTTTACGGTTACCAAATGTACACTAACTTTGTAAAAATACCATTTCCATAATTGTTATGTAGTTAAAATAATTGTTTTCGTCAATGTTGTCAACTTAGTACACTTTAATGCATATTTTTAGGAATTAGATGTTAGGGTGACCATTTGCAACTAAATTGCTATTACCTTATGTATTGATGTTAAATGAAAGAACAAGTGGGTGATTCCACTAAATGCACATTATTTCTATAGATAGTTACATATGGCAAATTGTTTTGTTTATGTAAAAAATATTCAGGGCCTTTAGCCAAACGCCACTTTAGCGCTTATCTACAGAGAGAGTAGAAATCAAAATGTATGGGGATGACACTGACAAGTCTCAAAATTTACGTCAATTCCATATAATTTAGTTTTCTATTCTACATGTAGACAAACGCTAAATGGCATTTGGCTACAGCTGCAGGTTCGAAATTATAAGGATATCGAAATTATATTCGAAAAAAAATGTCAAGATATTAAATTGAATAGATATATGTATTAGTGGCCAGTCAGTCCTTACACTAATTTTAATCGAATATTAGTAATAATATGATTTAAACTGTCTGTTGTTGATTGAAATGTTTTTGATTATTGTTTTTTTTTTTTTGTTTTATTATTATACTTTATTTTGTATAATTGGAAACTATGTAAATATGACAACAGAAATTACGGTTTGTAAATATTTTTCCAATGACTTTGTAAATAGTATGAAATAAAATATTGTTATATTTTGATGCTTTATTTTATGTACACCTAATTCATAAAAGGTTAATTAATGATATACCTTTACTAACATTGGGCTTTGATAATGACTGGAATGATAGTAAGGATTAAAAAAAATTACAAGTCTTGATAGTTACACTGTTTAATGCATTATTGGCTAACTAATTTGGCTTGGATTTAATTTCCAACAAAAAATGCTTAAATGATCGAGTGTATTACCAACATGTGTCATGTGCTATTCGCACACACATTCAGTACCTATATGGCAATTGGCACACCCCCTATTACATGGGACTCATAAAATAAATAGTAAAAAGTAGGTGTTACATTGTACAGTGGCATTAAGTGTCGTAATGTGCACCTCTGCCTACCCCGTGAGGGATAAAAGGCGTGATGCCATGTTATGTTTACTTATCCAGTACCTTGAAGTAACAACCAAGTTACATGAATTTACTAATACCTACATGTAACAAAAGGTTAACAAAAACTTTTTAATGGAAAATCATCCATTGATTTCTCCCACCTTGGGTGAGGTAAGCGGGAGTGTCTGACTTTCACCAAGTAAATACACACCATTCAATGAGTATGAGTAGTCCTACTCTTCTAGTCGGAGCCCCGGCAACCTGTTAAGTTGTCTGCGGCTCCGGTTAACATAGGCTTAGGCTGAATATATAGTCTAGAATAGTCAGTAAGAGTCTGACACTCCCTCCCGCCTCACCCAGGCGGGAGCAGTCATTCGATGATTTTCCCCCTTAAAAAAAAAGGCTGAATATACCCAAATAAAACAAAGATTAAGGAAATAAACTTATTTATTACATGTTATTCTTAAAGTTATTAGTGAACAATAGATCCCAACGGTTCTGCTTTGATATTTCCAAGGTCTAATCTGCTGTCTATAGATTCGTCTATTTGACCAACGATTGCTACATTGTCACCGCGTATTATATGAAGTCCGAGCACCACCTGCGCCACACCAGACGATGAAGAAAACACTCTTTCGTGCGATTCATCCAATATTATATTAATAGTTTGGTCAAATCCTTTTAAAGTTCCAATAAAGTTTCGACCGTCAGAAGTTATCACTGACACTGTTTGGTTCACATAATTTTCTAGTCCGGAAGCCATTGTTACACAATGTGATTTACAGTTTCAATATATATTAGCGAGTTTTGTACTGTAAGTAAAATTATTTTCGTTTGAACACCATTTAGCACGCCGTTAAACAAAACATATCTAATTGTCGTCTAAAAATGAGTTATGACATTGACAAATAATAGGATTCCAACCATAGATGTAAAATTCCAATTCTGGCATTCTGGCAGATGACAGTTATCTATAGTGGCGCTTGTTCTTTTTTGCATTCTTTCTTTTCTGCAACATAGATAGATGTAATTTATCTTGAGACATTTCGAAAACAGCTTCTCCAGTGCCCCTATGTGCGGTTAATTCACAAAATTCAAATAGCGTTTCAAAATTGATTTGCATAAATTTTGACAAGTGGCAACACCGGCTCTTTTCCTTACATTTTTTTGAGGACGAAAATTTAGAACCTTGTTAACTATAATTCAAACGAAGATACACAAACAAACAAAATCTTTCATTTTATATGTTAGAACTTGTAGTAGGTACGCGCGGTCGCTGCTTGGCTCCTATTGATCATAGCATTTTAGTCAGTAGGTACCTAAGAGTTTGATACTCCCTCCCGCCTCACCCAGGCGGGAAGAGTCATTCGATGATTTTCCCCCATAAAAAAAAATTCCGGAGATTAGCGCGTTCAAACAAACAACTCTTGCGGTTTAGTACATTTAAAAGAAGTTTAGATTTCCGGTTTCTCTCCTATACCGGGCCTTACACCCGTACTAGAACTAGGCTAATACAGATACAACGTGTGTCATCTCATATTTTAGAAAATAAAAAACATGGGTTTCACCGGTAATGAGTTACGTACTGTTATACCCAAGGAATATCACACCCTTATCCCCGTCACAGTGGAGTCGCGGAGAACCTAACGGGTAACCGGGGCTCCGGCTCGACGTGCAGGAGAAGGAACGGGGTGGTTTTTAGTCAGTAAGAGTCTGACACTACCTTCCGCCTCACCCAGGCGGGAGCAGTCATTCGATGATTTTCCCCCCTTAAAAAAAAAATAAAATCCCCGTCACAGTGCTGACACTTCACTCCTCGCCTCAAATGCATACAACCCCGTCCTATACAAAAACAGTCAGGTCAGTCGCATTCCATCTATAATCCCGTGCACTCGTGGGTCACACTCGAAATTATAATACCCATTAATTTGTGAAGTTAAATAAAAGTTATTTTATTCTTCGAACCGCAGTGTTTCCTTTAAGAAGAGAACTTACCATATCAAAATCTAACAGTACATACGGCTACTACACCAGGGTCAAAGCCTACAAAAATGGTAAAAAGTGAAAAAAAATTACAGTAGGATGAAACCCATTAGAAAAGGAGGGGAATATGATCAAAATGAAAGGAAAAATAAATTACGGTCGATCCGAGTTCGGGAAGTGGGAGGGGGGGAGTTTTTAAGGGTAAAAAGTGGTTTATCTTGACTTTAAGGGTAAAAAATGGTTTATCTTGATTTCCGGCAAAACTACAAGTCCTATGGAAAAAAGTTAAATGGCAAAGTTGTAGGCAATAAAAAGATCTACAACTTTTGTATTTGCAGATTTTTCACATAACCTCAAAATTTTGGTGAAAAATTCAAAAAACCAAGTTTTTGGTTTTTTATTTATATCTTTTTCAAATATTTTTTTTTCTACGAAATTTGGTGAAAATTATTTTTTCGCTTTATTTTAATTTAATATCAAAAATTTTCAAATTCTGACGTCAAAATATCAGCCTTTTTCAAAACGTTTGGGGGGATTTTGTTCGTTGAAATGTCTACTTTCTGATGGTGTAAAGAAAAATATACATTACTATAGGAAATATTCAAAATGCAAAAATATGAAAATACCTCAAATTCGAAAATTTGTTTTAATCATCATGTACAATTTTGAGGTATTTATTAAAATGTACATTTTAATTACTCAAAAAACGTAAAATTTAATGTTTTATTAATAAACGAAAAAAATACAAATTAAAATATCCTTCTATAATTAACAGACAAATAAGTTAATAAAGTTAATATTTAATAAGACATCTACAATATTTTTAAAAAGTTGTAGAACCTTCTTTAAATAATATTTGTAGTTGCCTATTTATTGCTGTTTTAAGGTAATTTATATACCTGAGTGACATTCTAATTAGTTAAAATTATTATTAATTATTTGGAATTCTAATTAGTCACTCATTCGTTTTTGTCTCTTTGGAGGCATTTCTTCATCGTCAGATTTTTTCCAACTCTAGTTGATCGTCGAAATCTTCAAGACCATCATCTTCGTCTTCAATGTTATTTCCAGTCTGCATTGGTTCTTCATCCATAATTTCATCTGAATCATTTACTTCCTCGTAGATTTTTTCTTCCATATTGGAGCAATTTTCAGAACCATGACAATTAGTGCATAAATTTGTGCATTTTAAACCATGTTTTCGGCAGCCACATTTCAAACTGTTGCATCCAGTTTCACAGCTGCAGCAAATAGTTTTGAGCAATACTTCCGGAATTAAATCCTTTTCTGTAAATTTGGGCATAATGCCATGCTGATGTTGCTTCCATCCCCAATCTGTTGCTGTCAATTCGTTACCCAACCAAGTTTGAAGCTGATAATATGCTCTGTAACAATGTTGTTCTGCTGCTCCTTCTGTGGGTGGGAGGTTTGCCAAAACGAAGGATGATTTAATTTTTTGCATACCAACTATTACCAAACTTAATATACGCAACTAGCAACTAGAACTTGTGATCTTTTCTATGAGCTACTACACCTTCTACAACCACAAACTACAGTGTAAGGATCTAACTGGACCTTACACCTATAGTAATGTATATTTTTCTTTACACCATCAGAAAGTAGACATTTCAACGAACAAAAACCCCCCAAACGTTTTGAAAAAGGCTGATATTTTGACGTCAGAATTTTCGATTGAAAATTAGGGTGCTTTTTTGATATTAAATTAAAATGAAGCGAAAAAATAAATATTTTTAATCAAATAAATTACAGTGTATTTGGGACATAATAAGGTAAGTTTTCACCAAATTTCGTAGAAAAAAAAAATATTTGAAAAAGATATAAATAAAAAACCAAAAACTTGGTTTTTTGAATTTTTCACCAAAATTTTGAGGTTATGTAAAAAATCTGCAAATACAAAAGTTGTAGATCTTTTTATTGCCTACAACTTTGCCATTTAACTTTTTTCCATAGGACTTGTAGTTTTGCCGGAAATCAAGATAAACCATTTTTTACCCTTAAACCCCCCCCC